AAGTGTAGTTTAATAGTCATGTACACATTGTACCTCAACAGTGTAGTTTAATAGTCATGTACACATTGTACCCCAGAAGTGTAGTTTGACCCTATCACCACAGGTATCCTTTACTACACATTACACAAGGTTTTAGTGTCTTGTATTCAAAATTTTATTAAACTATTTTTTGTTTATATTGTATCAATTAGTATAGCATAAAATCTTAGCTAATAATCTGTATTTTAATAATATATAAGGCAATATTAAAAAAAAATCCAGAATTTACCATAGTGTGACTCACATGACACATATACTCCAGCTATCTTCTGTTCTCTATTTTATCCACCACTCCTCCACTAACTATGAAATTAGATGTGAAAAAACTCACTATTAAATCGTCATTGCTCAGACAAACCATAATTTTTATAGCCTTCAATTTTGTTTGGTTACAGAACTATCAAATAGAAAATCAGACCCATACTGCCATACCCACCTGTCACATCCTCTCTTTCAGGATTTTTTAATAGTTCCCTCTTATGTTTTATTATATATTAACCTATAACCAATAGCAACCCAAGGTTTTCATCTATCAAGTGATGTATTATATTACGTTGTGTTCTGAACAGATAATCATCAATTTCACTTGTATTACAGGCTTCATTCTCACAGGAAAGGTAAGGACTAGTTTGGATGAATTTGTAATGGCTCTCGTCGCATAGTTAGAAAGCCAGAAGTATTGTGATTGTTAGAGGAAATTATCTGCTTTTTGCATGTTATTAGTATATGTTCTTTGATGCATTATTTAATTAAGTAAAAATGATTTAATGCACTACTACCATTAGTATAAAAAGTAGGGTTAAGTGTCATCGATAGTTGACAGGAAAAAGAAGAATACTCTTGTAAGTACTTTATTTCTTGTTTTTCATGCTTATTCTTTATTTATTATTATAAAAGTAAATAAAATGTAAACATAGGGATCTCTTTAGGTTAGTTAAGGTTAGGTTAGGTAAAATAAATAATAATAATAAAAATATTTCACGAGGCACGCAAGTGAGCAACTCGGAGTAGCTTGTGGGTAAGGTAATTTGATGGCATAATGTGAGCTGCACATTCCCCAAGTGATTTACAACTTATAATAGCATGAATACTAGTTAGACACGGTTCAAAGGGCAATACAATTTAATTATAAATAGATGTATACTGTTACAAGCTTAAAGCTACTTAGGATAAACAAATGTAGTTTTATGTTACATTCTAGAAAGAGAAAAGGGTAATACAGATTTATTTTGATTTTTTTTGGTGGTTACGAGGTCGGTCAAATTGACCAACTATGTATAGAATTAGGGTAGAGAGAATAACAGATGAAATATAAAGTTTTAGTGAAAACAAACACCTGAAATGTATATAGGAGGTTTTTAGAGATTACAAAATTAAATTTGAGATTTTGGAGAGGAAGAAAAGTATTTTTAATCTTAATATAAAAATCACTTTGCACACGGACTGTTCAAAACAAATACTTCATATATTTAAGGACAAATCTTTTTTTAGTTTATTAAAATACTTCACTAAAGATATGATTTTTTGTATGTGAAAGACTTATAATGTTTACTGAAAGATTGCCAAATTTCATGAATAGTTAGTAATATCAAATCTATAAAGACTTTGAACGAGTACAAAGACGTCACATGGTCAGTCAAATTGACTGAACCCATGTTAATAGAGTTAATAGTGATGTTCACATTGAACATCAACAGTGTAGTTTAATATTCATGTTCACATTGAACATCAACAGTATAGTTTAATAGTCATGTTCACATTGTACCTCAACAGGGTAGTTTGACAATCATGTAGACACCTGAGTTTGATATTTGTACACAAGTTATTCATGTTTTAATCACCATATATACAGATTATTATAAAACAGTTTTACTTGTTGTTTGTCAGCTTGTAACATAAATGTGTAAAACTTTACATGACTAGAGCTGCATTTTGATCCTCAATAGGCACATCCTCAAGTTTTATCCAGTTAGTGGATCATTTGAGGCTAACCCACCTTTTTGTGAAGAGCTCATGGAAGCAGTTGTAGGCCACTTTGAGGTAAGCCTAGACTTTCCATTTTTATCTTCCAAAGAAAGAAAGTTTAATGGTAAACTGAAGATTTAGAGTTATGCCATAAATACTTTTCAGTTGTATTTAAGATATTATGCAATACAGAATTACTAACTGCAAAGTGAAAAATAATATAAACTGGAGTATTAATTGGATTTTATAAGAACTTGTGTTTCAAGTCTTGATGTAGCCAGACCTTCCTGACTATAGTGAAGGAATTTAATCCTGCATAATTGGTTTTAGTAACTAGAGTTCACATTTTTTTTCTATGCACCTTGTGAGGTTTAAATTTCCCATTATATGAGAAACCTAAGGCAACTGTAAATCTAAAAGTAATCTTTCTTTACATTCTCTGTACCATATTAGGAAAACTAGGTAGCTCAGAACATTGATATCACTTATTAGATAGAAATTTATAGATTACCTTTATGTCTAGAGTAAGAAGTTTGTACAATACATTCATCTCCTAACTTTGTAAATTTAAACAGAATAGCAAGAAGTCAAAAACATGCGTAGTTGTATCTACGATGTCTCGTTTCTCCAAATGAAACAGGTGTTTATTTGGAACATTTATTTCAATGTAATTTATTCTAAGTTTTTTTTATAAATTTGTTTCAGATCTAAAATATATATATAGGGATTTAGTGTGCTTTCTTCTGTTGAATTAAATCTATTCTCAAACCCAAAATATAGCATAGGTAGTTTTTATTTGTTCGTTGACCAGTGTTAGAAATAATCTCGTACTAAGTTGTTTTGTGAACAATACTTACACCAACTTTTAAAAACTTTGTCTTCTCTCTAGAAACTGCTTAGTGAGTCACAAGAACCTCTGTCATTTATTGTGTTCTTACCAGAGTGGCGAGATCCTGTCCCTACATCTCTTGCTAGGCTTGAATCCAGCAGGCAAGTCTTTTATTTATATTAACATTAGGATGTTTTGTGGATTTGTAGTTTTTTTCTTTACTTTAGACAGTAAACTAACCATAAAATATCATTTGAACAAGAGCTTGATATTATTGGAATTTGGTTATTGAGTCATTTTCAGGCTCATTAATTGATTACATTCAATTAATTGATTTTTTTCCTCAAGAGATTTTAATAGTTGAAATAATGTCAAATAGTAATAATGAACAAATTTAACTTTCATTAGTTACTTATTTTTGAGATTTGTGACACTAATCAATTTAAGCTGAATTAATCCAAAATAATGCCTCCCATTGGCACAATGGTATACCTGCAGACTTATGGCACTAAAAACTGGGCTCAATACTCATGGTAGGCAGAGCAAAGATAGCCTATTGTGTAGCATTTACTTAACAAAAAACAATCAAAAATAGTAATGAAAAATTATAATGGCAATATTTCAATTACTTGGAAAATTGGATTAGTTGAAAACAAATTTTCTTTAGATGATTATTTTCATGACATTAATCAGTTTAATTATAATCCCAGTTAATTGGTTATATTTTGTGAGACTAATTGATATAATCAATACATATAGGTAATTGACTATATTGATTTATCAAGTTAATTTTCTAACTCTAATTGACACTGTGGTAAAATGTGTGTTTAGGTGTTCTTATTGTTAGAAATACTTAAGGAATTTACCAACAAAACCTGAAGCTTTAAGCAGAATGATTGAAATTATCTAAATGGAGGGCTTAAGCTTATATATGATAATGCTCTTTTTAAGTCAACAAACTTACAATGCTAAAATCTGGGGTTCGACTCCCCACAGTGGACACAGCAGATAGCCCAGAGTGGCTTTGCTCTAAAAGAACAAACAAACTGTTTAAATAATTCTAATGTGTCTTTAATCAGTAATACTCCAGTACTGTATAAAAGAAAATCGTATATACATTTCTCAAGTATGTATGTGTTATTTGTATCTCATGGTTTGTATGTTGAACTCTTGGTATCTTCAGTTAGCTTATGTTACTGACTTTATGTAATTTGTTGTATGTATGTTCCTTGTAGAAAAAAATGAATGTGAACTTTCTTGTAGTGTGCAATTTCTATCAGGAATATTTGTTCCTGGATCCAATGCTGTAATTTGTTTTTTCAAATTTATGGCTGAAGTTGAGATACAAAAATTTCATGTATTTTTTGCCTTTTAAAACTTGCTAAAACTTGATCACTTGTTTTTGTACCTCAGGGTTGCTGAGATCGTGGTTCAGTGAGACAACTGGGCAGACTACAATAATAAAATAAATACTCTTGTTCTTTCTTTAAACTGTATTGTTTAGATGGTTTGAGCATCAACTTGTTTTGTGTGTGTATGTGTCACTGGAGATACAGTTAGTGAGAGGCTAGGTTAACATTTTGCATAAATTTCTGTTTTATTTGATTCATGTAGGTAAACATAAATGAAATAGTTGAAAGATTGATGAAGTTCTAATTGGCTGACTCCCAGGCACAAATTTCATAATTCATGCTTTGCTAAAGGAATAAGAAAATTTATGTTTTGTTTTCAGACAGAGTTCCTTGAGAGAGATGTTTTAAAAGCTTATGCTTATTTATCAATTTCTAAGAATTGAAAGAAAAGAGGCAAGTTTGACGACTTTCTAGTTTAATCTGTGTAAATCAAAATGATTGGAGGCAGTGAAATTAGATTATGTCTTAGCAGTATATACACTGTAAGTGTAATTTATGTTAAAACCCATAAACTTCAATAGGGATGGAAAGAGTGTCTGAATTGGGCAATTCGTAGCAAACGAGTGCCATATGATATAAAGAAGTGAAGATTGAGAATTTATTGAAAAATATCCTTTTGAAATTAAAAATTCAAACCTATATAATATTAAAATTTGAATTATTTAGTACATTTTGATGCCTAGCTTATTGACATTCATTGAAAATTAAGTAATTTATTTAAATTTTGAATGTAACTCTTTAACCCTAATGTTATGGATAGTTAGGGGTCAGAGGGCATGTCAACTTGTTTGTAGACTTGCATTCAAAATTTTATTGAACTACCATTTTATGACTGTGTGTCAATAAACTTGGTATCAAATTGTAGATTTTAATTAAAATTTTAGCATTAGACATTAGTTAATTTCTTAATTTGAAACTAAATATAGAATAAATAGCTAAATATCAATTTTTGTGCGTCACACTGGTACGTCATTTTTTGGGTTTGGTCAGATTACATTTTATGATGCCCACAATACAACATCTGTAGTTTAATACGAATTATAAACTCAAATTTCTGATATTGGCAAGCTATAATATAAAATAAGAATGTCCTACATTTTCTATTTGCTGAGATATCATAATATTTATCAAATCCACCATATTGGCTCTGCTCACCACTTCATCATAGGAGACTTGTTTACCTATACCTGCTTTTTTATACCTGAAAGTTTATAACAAATTGAAAGCTCTTCATTTCCTCTACATAATTCTGTTAGTCTTTCTAAGCTATTTACGAGGAAAAAGCTCTTATATTGTTGGAGAGTTTGAAGTATTATGATCAGTGCTATTTTCTGAAAAGAAATGAGATTTTTTTTAGACCCAAATACAGCATAGTTAGGAAACTTGGTAAATTACAGTAGATTTTTGTGGTATTGGTATAGACATTTATAGTTTTTTTATATTCAAAAATGGATATATAAAGTCTACAAAAGTTATTTTTTTCTACATCGACATGTGCATTTGGACAAGACTTATGATGAGAGTTAGTAAGTACGACTCACGAGTGCAAAAGAGAAATTCAAAACATTGTAAGTAGTGGAGATGATTGTTTTTTAAATATTTTTTATTTACTGCTCTATGTTTTAAGAAAAATAACTGAAATTTAAATATTTATTTGTAAATGGTAATTATAT